CTTTTTCTCACTATTTTTATTTTTTTTCTTCTTTTTCAGTATTTTTTTCTTTTTCTATACTCTCACTTTTATTTTTTTCTTTTTCTCCTTCACACTCATTTTTTTTCTTTTCATCCTCTTTTCCTTGTAAGATTTCCTTCTCTACAACCAAGTTGTCACCAATCCCTTCTCCTATAACCTTACCACTCCTTATAGTTTTTGACTTACATTTCTCCTTTGGATTGGTTTGTGTGTTAGCTTAAAACTGTCCTCCTTGCTGCTCAGATAATTGTTTAGCCAGTTGACCCATCTGGGTCTCAAAATTTCTGAATGAAGCCTCAGTATTTTTCTGATCAGACATAGTGGCTTGCATGAATTTTTCTAAAGTATCCTCCAATTTACTCATTCTGTCAAACATTGAAGGATAATGTTGTTGCTGTTGTTGATATGGAGGTTGCTGATATGACTGTTGTTGAAATTGATTTTGTCTAGTAGATGAGCTAACACCTTATTTCCACCCAAAATTCTGATTCTGATTCCCTCTCCATCCTTGTGCAAAATTATTCTGATAATTGTTGGAATGAGAAAAATTACCTTGTCTGCCTTGACTACTACCTTGAGCACCCATATAATTAGCTTCTTCTTGTTGAATGTTGCCTTGATAACAGCATTATTCATTTGAATGATCACCTCCACACAAGTTGCATTACATGAATTGTTGATAAGCAGAAGCTTGAATAGCATGTATTTGTTGAGGTAACTTTGCTATTTGTTGAGTTAATGCTTCCATCTATTTAGTTAGAATTTTATTCTGAGCTAGCATAACATCTGAAGTATTAAGCTCCAACATTCCTTTCTTTTGAGCCAGATGTCTATCATGTTGGGCCTGCTGGTCTGTAAAGGCTAGTGCATCAATAATTCTTGTGGCATATTCGATTTATGCATCCAGCATGGATCCTCCTACAACAGCATCTAAAAGTATCTTTGTATCAAGTCGCAGACTAGTATAGAAAATATTCAATTGAGAAATGTCTTCAAATCCATGATTTGGGCATCTTCTCAGCAGTGATTTAAATTTCTCTCATGCTTCATAAAAAGATTCATCTGCTCCTTGTCTGAAAGAAGTGATGTCAGATTTTGTTTTGATGTAGCGGGATGGTGGGAAAAATCTGTTCAGAAACTTCTCTTATACATTACTCCAATTAGTCAAACTCTAATTAGGATGTGCCTTCAGTCATTCCTTTGCCCTACCTGCCAAAGAAAAAGGAAATAATCTCAAATATGCAGATTAAAGATTTGCTACTCTAAATCTCATGGTACCAATCAACTCATAAAAAGTAGATAAATGAATGTAAGGGTCTTCATGATTCAATCCAGTGAATTGATGAGCATTAATCAAGCTTAAGAAAGTTGGATTCATCTGCAATGTTTGGTCATCCGGTATAACAATGCTGGAAAAGTGTCTTGGACCTTGCTGCATAACATAGTTTCTGAGTGTTCTTCTAGGTGGATTTGAATCTGGATTTTGATTTGAATTTAGATTTTGATTTGTTTCATCTTCTGCCAGATCTTCTATAATTGGGTTTGATAAATTGAGTGTGGAAGAAGAGTTAACTGATTCTCCTGTGGCTTGTTCTTGAGTTTCTCTCCTTCTTCTACCCCGGTTCCTCCGAGCGGTTTTTTCAATCTTCAGATTAGATTCTAACTTCGCTGAAGATACGTGTTTTCTTAAACGCATAAATCAAAAGAGTAACTCAAACAAAGATTAGCACAAGACAATAATTAAGCAAAATAAAACTGAAAAATAAAATAAAAAACAAAAATAAAAATAAAATACTTAATAAGCTAAACAAAGAATTCTCAAAGATCACTTGTTCCCGATAATGGCGTCGAAATACTTGTTGAATTATTGGCAAGCATACCAAAATTATCAATCGTAGTATAGTATTTCGATTAAATAAAAGTCGATCCCACGAGGAACGGTTTCAATGGAAATTCCCAATTATATGCTTACTAAGTGGATTAAAACAAATTGAGTTTTGTATAAAGAGTTGAATTGAAATTAAATGACAAAGAACTATAAATTGTTGAGAAAATATCAATTAAAGACATTTAGAATTGACTTCCTCCCTTTTCCCTCTTTTGTAATGGTTATGCCAATTAAGAACATCAATTAACCTAACAATGTTGATGTCACCTACTCAAATCATCCATGTTGATTCCTCACACATGAAATTCATAAGAAAACCTAATAAATGTTGATTCCTCACACAATTAAGAGATTGTCTAGCATTAGGTTTAGGGTGTTAAATAATTGATACATTCATTCCATTCCTGACAATTAACATAACAAATATTCTTACCGTGATCTAGAGTTCAAGATATATTTTCCAATCATATCCCAAACATCAAGAATAAATCACTCCAAAACACAAAGGATAAGAATAACAACATCAAAATATAGATTAATATATCAAAATATCACTATGATACAAAAGAGTTCAAAGGAAGTGCACCAAATCCCAAGAGAATGAAGTTAGTCACTCATGTTGGCCATTACAATGCTCTAAATGAGGAACAAGTGAATAATTGATGAAGATTAGATGAAACCCTAGCCGTAGTCGCGCCTTTTCTCCCCAAAACTGCTTGTTTTTCTCAAAACACATCTTATTTTTTTATAAGAAAAATTGGGTCTAGCGTCTTTCGCTCAAGCGGCAACTTTTGCTCAAGCAAAATTTCTTATTTTCGCTTAAGCGACAAAACGCTCGCTTGAGCGAGTGAACTCCAGAGAAAAATAACTAACATTCACTCAAGTGAATTTACTTGCGCTTGAGCGACTGAATTCCAGAGAAGAATAACTTATATTCGCTCAAGCGAGAGTCCATCTCACTCGAGCGACTTCCATGCTGAAAATATTCTTCCTTCTTCTAGTTTTACTCCAATTATGTTGACAATTATGCTCCTTACTCTTGTATCACGGTATTCTCGAATTTATCCTACATTGGGAGAAAAATATATTATAATTAACATAAGTTAAGTGGTTTCATAACAATTCAAGACATAATTATATCAACTTTTTACCATTTAACACATTAACAACTCTAGCTCAATGCATATCAAATTTAAATAACTAGCTAGTTCAATTTTTGTTCTATTTATCCGTATTTTTATTTTTTAACAACCTAATTGAATTTAGAAACTTAAATAAATAATAGAAAATTTTGTAAGTTGTCTAAAAAATGTGGAGGCCAAATGCAAATATTTTTTATTGTTATAAGATTATAAATTATATATAATGATAAAAATACTTCAATTAATTAAATTAAAATAATTAAGTTATATATTTATCTAATATGTGTGATAACATGTTGTGGATACATCATTTATTGTGTGATAAAAGGTAGGATGAGTTATGTCCAATGTGGACATTTAAGTTGTAAGGCTCTTAAGTAAAAGAGTTCAGTTTAATTCGTTAAGTATTTGATATAATTATTGCAAGATGTATCAATCATGATAGAAGATCATATGATGTAAGTGGAGATGACTCCCTTCTATTCATCTTATCTGACCTTCACATAATTAAAAAGACCTTATGGTCAACTATAAATATATTTTTTTATGAAAAAAAGATAAAACATTGAATATCTTTATAACCATGTGCAAAATATTTAAATTACACTAATTTAATATAAGATTTTAAGACATTAACTTTATCATTTTTTTTCACTTAATTTATCGAGTTGTGACTTCTATCCACCTTATTAGTTGATATTCACACTTTCATGCCTCAATGAAATATATTATTTATTTACATTTTATAATAAAAAAATAACAAGTTTAAATAAGATATTTTTTTAAGAAGATGTAAAACCTCTCTTCCTAGAGCTATTACCTTAAACAGCAAAATTTAGAAGAATAAAAAAAATAAAATTTGACCTATTTATTTGAGAATTGATATCAACTTACAAATTTATTCATATAACACATCATAAATGAATGAGTTGAATTATATGAATCAATTCAACTCAACCCATTAAATCAAAGGATTGGTTGAATTAGGTTAATTTATCCAATTGATTTTCTTGTCATTGAATATTTTGATTCATTTTACTATATATTATTTTATTGTAAATGATATTTACAGATTATTATGATATTTTACTTTATTTTTGCTATTTTGTTCTACCATGATAATTTCTAAGAGATCAATAAGTAAATCGTGTAATTGTGATAATACAGTGACTAAGGGAAAGAGAGACATTTTGTATCTCTTAAGTTTTAAAAAAAAAAAAAAAAAAGAACACAATTTATGACATGAAAAGAGTAAAGTTGGTTTATAAGATATAAAGTAAATATATAATATTTAGTAGGTCATCGTTACTGACTAACTAGGCAGTCATATCTATTCTTTTAGAACTTTTTCCTTTTAAATTAATTTGGTGAGAGAGTTCAACTTATTCATAACTCACCCAATTTGGTTGCGTTAAAAATTTTAACCCATTCTTAAAACCGATACAATTTACATCAATTCAATTTTTTGACAAATTAAAGATGATTTGAGTTATTTTAATATATGTTCCCGGGTCTATATCTAGTTTCTTCTAATGCTCAAGGACTCGTTCTAAAAAGGTTTATGCTTGGGATATTCATATCTATTATTTTATATGGATTCAGATACACTTATCAACCGGCCCTTGTCCAATGTTTCATGCATATAATCCGAAGGTTCGGCCATTTGTCTGAAACGGCAGAGTGAAAGCACTTTGTTGTTGTTTTTTATCTAAAAAAGGGAGAAGAAAAATGAGAGAAACTGTGGAACAATTTATTACATGTTTAAACAGCTCCAAAAGAGTCACACTTCTACCTACTCTGATGTGTGTATTCTTGTATTAATATCTTTGTCATATATTATTTCACCATCTTTACTTCTTCATTTTTCTGAATCTTCTTGGTGACTAAAATGAATGTTCTTCTTGGTATTACCCATTCGTGTCAAAACCATCTAAACCATTACGAACAATATGTTTAATAGCATGTTACATTTCTCTTGTTCTAATGTAATGAACTTTCAAGGGAAAAGCTCTTTGCTATTGCTTCTCCTGCTGTTCATCACCCTTTATCTTGGATCTTCTCAAACTTCTGTTTATAATTGTGTCCTTGATATTCAATCTTCTTCATCCTTGGTTAGTTCAAATTGTGAATTGTACAATTGGGGAGGGTTTACCAATGGCTGTTGTGGACCATATTTTGGTGATTACCTTTATTCCTTGGGGCTGAGGGCAAACCAAACTGGAGAAGTATTCTTGAGTCCCTCAGAGCAAAAAAACTGCATAGCATCAATGGAAGCTTTTGACAAAAAGTTTAATTGTTATGGAATAGAGAAGCTAACACGTGGAACTAATGGTTGCTCTGATTACACCATCGCAGATGTTATTAATCAGTTTGGATACAACCTTGGGAGATTGGAGGAAGATTGCATGCCTTTAAGCACAAATGGTAGACCAAATGAAACTTGCACCAATTGTTTGAAAGCATGGGAGAATATCAGTGCAAAACCAGACAATACGAGGGGCTCAGAGTCAGCAAATGTCAGTTCTTATCTTTGTAGATTTGCGGTGCTTGTCTCACTAACAAGCACAAGAATTTATGATAGGGAATCAATTCTGAGAGTTTATAAATGCCTTGGGGAACAGGCCCTTTCTGCAGGTGAGATCTAACATTAGAGTTGATTAAGTTTAATTTTGATTAGCAACAACAGTTGAGCTTGTTTGTTTCAACTTTTATTCACGAAAAATCATTTTTGAAAATAATGAGTGATTTGCAATTGGAATTCTCAATAAATTTGGATAATTTCAGCCAATCAAGAAATCAAGGCTAGGGGGAATGCTAATATCAACTCAGGTACATATGTTCAGGTTGCTACCAGATATTATTTATGATGATTTTTACCAAGTTAATGAGTCATGACAATTTTGTTCAAAAACATAACGGCAACAGGTCCCTGGATTGCCTTTGGCATAGCAGGAGTTGTTATAGTATTGGTGCTTCTTGCCGCACTAGCATTATTTATCACAAGAATTTTAAGTGTTCCAACCGTAAAACATGGTAATCAATACAAAAACAAATATTCGTTCACTTTTATGGTCATGAACCATCTATTTCTCTTTCTAACTTAGCACCATCTATTATCCAGAGTCTGATTCACCTTCACTGAAGATAACTTTGAAGGATGTTTATGTAGCAACAAACAATCTCAATGCTTCAAATTTCATAGGCCAAGGCATAGCCGGTAAGAATGTAACTTTACTTCTAGAACTTGTTTTTTATTCATCTCAATTGCAATTAGATTACCTCTACGTTGTCCAAGCAATTCCAAACTAAATCATGGAAGACTTTGTAGAAGTTATACACTAAACCACATCCTATGACAACATAAACAATAAGGAAGTTATATATCCATGTAGCATGCAGTTTGGTTAAAATGGATGAACTTCAGGTTTTCCCATACTTTAGTGAAGGCAATGTGCTGATAGTTTGACCAATTATAGTGCTAACTTAGTTAGGATTATAGCCTGATGCTTTAGCATTCTTTTTTCAATTAAAAAAATGTAGCCAAGTAGCTAAAGAAGAAAAGCGAAGCTGCAGGATGAGAATATTTAAAATGAGATAACAAAAAGTACATTCAAAAGGGGTAAGACATAATCTGAAATTCTGTTTTTTATTTTTCATTTGGGTGACTCAAGGAAAAGTGTACAAAGGTGTACTCTCCAACAAAAATTCTGTTGCTGTGAAGCATATCACCAAAGAAGGTTACATGGAGACATTTGTTAGAGAAGTGAGAAGCCTTTCCCATGTTAGACATCACAATCTAGTGGCTTTGCTGGGACACTGTGAAAGTGAAGCTGAATGCTTCCTAGTGTATGAGCTATGCCACAATGGAAACCTCTCAGAATGGCTATTTGGTATCTTTCTTCACATCTCTTTTATTCATTCAAAATTTCCTAAGCTTCTTTCATTGCAAAACTTCTTAAACGCAATACTGCAACACAACAACAGGCAATGACAAAGTTCTTTCATGGATTCAAAGACTAGAGATTTCCATTAATAGTGCAAGAGGTCTTGAGTTTCTCCACACCTACCCAAATGGTTGCATCGTTCACCGTGATATAAAGGTATATATTTCTACACATACTATCTTTCTTGTTCCATATCATCTTCTCATTATTCACTTTCATTCACTAATCCTGTTCTTTCATGATGTATTGTCAGCCATCAAACATTCTTATTGACGTTAACTTCCAAGCAAAGCTTTCAGACTTTGGGTTGTCCAGGGTTATGGACTTAGGCCAATCCTATGTGAGCTCTGAAGTAAGAGGAACATTTGGTTATATTGATCCTGAATATAGGACAAATCACCATGTAAAAGCCTCAGGAGATGTCTACAGCTTTGGAATAGTGTTATTGCAACTTCTATCAGGACAAAGGATCCTTAACATTGATTTCCAAAGACCAATGTCTCTGGGTAAAATGGTGGGTAATTACATTCTAAGAGCTTTAAAACTTGGTCCATGATGACCACTAACACTTCTCAATTCCTCAGGCTAAAGATGCTGTTAGAGGCAGTGATATTTCAGACTTTGCAGATCCTAAACTCAAAGGGGAGTACTCAGTTGAAGCATTTAACATGGTACTAAAGCTAGCTTTGTCTTGCATAGGGGACAAGCGACGAAGACCCTCTATAGAGCAAGTGTTATATAGCCTAGAAAAGGCACTTGATATTTCATTATAAGCAAATATTAAAAATAAACCAGCGTCAAAATCAAATTTAACCATAATCTTTAAAATTTAAATCTTAATTATATATTATAATTCGATCATTTATCTGGTTAATGCGAAATCTTCAACAAAATTCCTCTAAAAATTTACAGACAAAAAAACATCTTAGAAATATTATCAAGGTTTAATCAATTATATATATATATATATATATATATATATATATATATATATATATATATATATATATATAATTGTATAAATATTTTTTTTAAAATTTTCACTTAAAAGTTATTATTTTCTGTCCTTGTACTTTCAATTTTATAACAAAGTTAAGAGAGTAAATAAAGTTACATGATAATAACATCCAAATGTAAGTTTTACAATAGCAAGATTAAAATGATTTTACAGGTTCTCATGATAAATTGGGAAATTTAATTTTCAATCTAAGCTTCACTTTAGTAAGAATCAAGAAATTGAGTAACTTTATTAAGAATCAAGAAATTAAGTAACGTATAAAAAAAACATTCATAACCTAATATTTTTAGATTTTAGGTTGAAAATTAATATTTTATTTGAGTTGTATCCGTGTCTCAATAATATTATCTCTCTTTAATGAGTTTTCATTTAAATATCGAAAAAAATTTAACATTCACAAATTAGTTTATCTTATATCTAAACTCTACTAACTCAAAAATTGGTTTATACTAAAAACATATAAAAAGATAGGATATAATTACTAACAAAATATAACTACTAATATTTATCATTCAAAACAATATTAATTAACATATAAGTAATGTTAAGATGATTTATTTTTTTCCTGGAAAGTTCATCATGCCAACATATTTTATTAATTTTAATTTAAAAAATATCTATCTATATATAAAAATAAATAAAATCTAATCAATCTTTTATAAAGCTTAGAACATGGATATTTATACATTGAATGGTTTATGCATATGAGTTTGTAAACATTACAAAAGATGTTTTACAATTTTAAATACGCATAGTTCAAAAAATACAAAATGCAATTAGACATGTATTGAGTATGTAGAGTAAGTCAAAATCATATGTCAAACAACAAATACGACGATATTAGTGATATTTATAGGAGTTTCAAGAGATCCATAGATGTTTGTTCCGATCCCATAATCTTCTTAAGAGAAATGATATATGCCACATTGGTGTATTATATTATAAGGTTACTCTACTCCGAGCTATAGGTTATTGAAGTCAAAAACAGCCGTTCGGTGCAGTAAAAAAAAAAAGATCTAGTTTTTGTTTATATTTTAAGATAATTTATAATTTTTCTTAACCTCACTTTATACTATGTTAATGAATTAATTTTTAACCTGATTAAAAATAAAAAAAATATAATATATTTATGAAAATAATTAACTAAAACAGTTTTATATAAAAAAATTAAAAAATATTTTTAAAACTTAAATTATTTAACAAAATTAATTCTTATTTTATACAATAATTTGATATATAAATTCTGATGATTTACGTAAGAATTTTAGTTAAAAAATATATATAAATTATAAAAATAAAATTCATTCATTTAAAAAATAAATGACCTACGTTTTATCCTCGTCATTCTTTTTTTTAATCATTTAAAATAATTTTTATTTTATTTTTTAGATTACATAAAAATAAATGATAAAAATGAAAAATTGAGTATTTAATTTTCATTTTTAGAATAAATTGATCATTTTTCAAATTAATCTATAATATATATTTTATTTTTATCTTAAAAATAATTATTATTTTACAAAATAAAATAACCTATAAACTCGTACATCAGATTTTTATAAATCCTAGACAAATACATATTTATTGGAACACAAGCCCATTATTTCACTTTACCATAGCAACTATATAGTTTAGAGATATTTCTAACTATGTAAATGAAAAAAGATTTTGATAAAGATAACATTTATTTTTGTGACCTCTACCGTTAAAAATCATTTTTTTATCATTTAGAAAATATATATTATACTATTAAAAAAAATAAGAATAACATTTTTTGATGTTTTCTCCCATTATGATCCGCTTTACATTGAACATGCAAAAGAAGAGTAGAGTGGATTATTATATATGGGAAAATAAATTTAGTTCCATGAATCAATTTGAAAGGTTGACACATTCTTTTTTTCTGCATACTTTCTTCGTGCATCTCCATCTTTATTTGAAAAGATAATAACACCCTTATTAGCTTAAGAAATCAGTGATCTAGAGAAACATATTGTGTAGTATTTGGAATTGAGAAATCCGAAAAATTTCGAATGATTAGATCTAAAAATATATTTTGTAAGTTTCAGATTACAAAATCCATAATATAATTTTACCATTTTAAAAAAAATTAATCCGGAAAGTTTTGGGGAAGCTAAATTCGGAAATGATATTTCACAAATATGATTTAAGTTTTTATTTCATTTAAAAAAAAATTGAAAAGTTGATTCTGGAACGTTTCCAAGATTAATATGAAATATTTCTGAAAAACTTTTGGAAGAGTGAATAAAAAAACTTATTCTTTGGTAGATGTAATATTGTCTTTTTTTTTAAAATAAAATGGTGCACATTATTAATTTTGGGGTCAAATAATATATTATCAATAAATAATAAATAAATATAAAAGAAAATGATGAGTGAAAGAACAAAATTGTAAATATATAAATAAATATATTAAATGATCATTAAATTTGAGAGGTTAAAATCATAAATGATATAAGAATTACAAAACTTTGAGAGGGTAACAACCCAGTCAATTTTCAAAAAGATATGTCACCGACAGGATGAATACATGATGTGCAGGAAGAATGTGTTTAAAAATTTTATAGCCTAAATTGAATTACATTTATTTTTGTAACAATCATAAAAATTATGCATACCATAGATATATAATTAAAATACACATAGTAATTCAAATTTTTTTCTATATAGGAAAATATATACATGCATATTTATCACCTCAAAAGTAAACAAAACATAAATTTATATTATTCCTAATTCCATATCTACAAGATGAATATATGGTGTGCAGGAAGAATGTGTTTAAAAATTTTATAGCCTAAATTGAATTACATATATTTTTGTAACAATCCAACAAATTATGCACATCATAGATATATAATTAAAATACACATAGTAATTCAAAATATAAATTTTTTTCTCGCATAGGGAAATATATACATGCATATCTATCACCTCAAAAGTAAACAAAACATAAGTTTATATTATTCTTAACTCCATATCTACTTATCAATTGTAAATTTGCGCATGTGTAAACATAAGATCATCACAGTTCAAAGCAACATACAAAATCACTAATGCAAAAAAGGCTTTTTACGTCAGGTATTTTGGGTTTTTTACGTCGCATTTAAGACTAACGTTAAAACGGGAGACGTAAATTTACGTCGGACCCTTAGCCTGACGTAAATTCACGTCAGTTATCGAGACCCAACGTTAATTTACGTTATATTTACACTAAACGGACGTAAAAAGTATCAAAAATTAAAAAATTTGGAGTAAATTTATGTTGCGTATACCAATATGCGACGTAAATTTGTTTTTTTTTTTAAATTAGGTTTATTTTGTCTTACAACCAAAACACTGCAAATATATATTATAACCAAACAATCCCGAGGTTCAAGTTTCTTTAGTTATGTAATTAAAAAATATAATATTATATATAATTCAAACTACATAATAAAACAATATAATACAAACAATAACCTACAAACTAAAATCTATTACAAACTAAAAGTTAATACAAACTAAAAGTTAGTACAAACTAAGCTACCTAAACTACATAATACACACAATATAATATAAACAATAACCTAACAAATTAAGTACTAGAATTGTTGAACGAAAAACCTTGCCCATTATTCTCTAATTTGTGTGATATCATATTCGGCAATGGAGATGGATCTTGAAATACTTGAAACATTTATTTGACTCTTGTAAACATGCAACACACATAAAGTTAAATAAACTTAACTAATGCTGAAAGCAATTACCTCCGATCCAAGAATCGGTTATACCCGCACAAACTATGGCTCTCATCCAATACATAACATAGTAACCACATTCAAATGAGTCTCGTTTGCTTATTACACCTGAAATGATGAATAAAATATAATATTATTTTCAAAATTTAAATACAAACAATAATTATGGTATTCACTTATTATAATAAGTTTCTAACCTTAGGATAAATGAACTGCAAAGTCTTTGTTCGGGTTTTCCACTTACAATATTAGTTATAGACACGATTCTAAAATGAAAAAAAGCCATATATTATTCAATACCTTTTCCATTTTCATTAGCAAATTTCAAAAATTCATCAACTCCCTTTTCGTACTCTTCACTAATATGACGTGCATTCATCCAACTTCGATTCATATTATGTTAAAAAGTTTCGTCACTCCTAGAGATTCAAAATTTATATTTAAAAATAAATTAATATACAAACAACAAAGCACGTAAATGGAGTGTGTAAACCGAAAATGCACTCAAACAAAATAATGACATTCCAATAACAATCCAGTGGAGACATTCATACAATGACATAATCGAGATCCTTAAAAACAATCACGGATTCAATTTGAACATATATCAGCAGACATAGAACACTAACCTCGAGTAAACACGAAAACGATTTCAAACTCGAATCCAATCGGGGAGAAATGTCAAATTCGTAAAATGAGACACAATGTTGATGTTCTTCACTGCCAAAATGATCGAAAATGGTGTGGAAAGGTAGCTGTCGTCGTCGTTCTCATTGTCGTTCTAAAAAACCCTTGCGGCGCGAGATGCGGGAGTGGGTCTAGAAGAGAATAAAAAGAACTTTTTACGTCGCACACCCTAGCACGTGATGTAAAAAGCCTCTTTTACGTCGCGCGGGGGGTGCGCGACGTAAAAAGTGATACTTTTTACGTCGCGCACCCCCATGTGATGTAAAAAATGATACTTTTTATTTTAAAAAGTATCACTTTTTACGTC